TGCTCAAGAGCAAGTTTCAGAGTCTCTTCTTACAACCATTTTGGTCTTTTCTTTCTTTCCTGTTTTTTAATGACCTTTTGCTTTCTTCCTCTATGATATTCTTGATGTTGTCCCACAATTCTTTTGATGTCCAGTCATTAGAGTCAAATGCATCTAATCTGTTTTGGGGATGGTCTCTAAATTCAGGTGTGATATATTTAAAGTCACATTTTGGCTTTCATAGACTTCTTAAATTTTAGTCAGCGTCAGTCTGAACTTGCATATGAGCAATAGATGGTGTGTTTCATAGTTAGCTGCTGGCCCTCTTTTGACTGATAATATTGAGTTTTCTATCATTGATTTCCATTTTTGTTAAGTGCCATTGTGTCATTTCAGATTCATTGAGACCCGGTATAGAGGTTTGAGCCCACCCAGTGATGCCACAGAAGAAACACCTGGAAATCTGATGTAGACAGTATAGTCATGGAAACTTACAGAGCAGTTTTGCTTAGTAACGCACAGGTCACCATGAGTCAGCATGAACTTGACAGCTTCTTATACATGTATGTCTCCCTCTCATAAATAATACCCATTTCCCCCTTTAATCTTTAGTTGAAGATTGCTGTGATCCTGTGTATTTAATTTTATGTTTTCATATAAAAGTATATATGTACATGTTTTCAATGTAAGCTGACTAATTATTTTAGAAGCAAGTAGAGTACAAATTGCAAATCAATGAATATGAGAACAAAGCTAAGCTAAAGTAAAGATAGATGGGCCACTAGGCCTTTGGAATGTCCTTAAAATCCTGCCACTTAAGAGCGTCGTGTGCCTCATATACCTCCTGCTGGTCCTTCTTGGGCTCATCGTGAGAAGACCACCGTCATACCCACTACCAGAGAGGGCAGGGGAGCAAAGGACTTCATTGTCATTAATGTGATTCTGCCTCAAATGTGTTTGACCAAATAAAATGTTGACACTTTGCAGTAACATATTTAATCCTGACCCTTGAGCGACTGATGGAAATTGACCTTGAGACTGTTCCCCTTACTTTATACATATGTCTTTTCTGATCTCTATAAACTCTGCATTATTTTAAAATAGGTTGAGTTGGCTGAGAATACTTTTGCTAATCTTCGCACTTTACTTGTGTCCTGTTAACAAGTACAAATCCAAGGACTGAGGCCCAAAGGTGGAACATGACCTTATGAAGTGCCAATGATTCTAAATAACATTCATCTCTACTGTCACTTTATCAATAAACTTTGTAAACTGTGGAGATCTGTGTAAACTATAAAACATATGTGTATCTTGGTATGTAGCTTATAAGGAGGAATTCTGAATTGTTATTACCATTACTAGATTAAGGACTATACAAGAGGAAATTATTATTATATCATAGCTAGCACCTTCATGGTTCAAAACATAGGTGTTGGTTTCATGTATTCCATGAAAGGAACTCAGTAGTCAAAAGTGTAAAGAAATCTCATGTGCTTAATGCAATTTATGGAAGAATGCTCATTTCAAATTGACAAGCAGGGATGCATTTGTAAAGCAATGGTACTCATCCCCTTCATATGGGCCTTGTAATGGTACCTGACTGCTTACAGGAGCATCAAATGAAAGCAGAGTCCTCCTCTGTTCATCTGACCAGCTTTCTGTCCTTGATCAAAAATTACCTTCGCTGTCCATCATGTTGTTAGTGGTTAAAACTTACCATTTAATTTGTAAGCTGTAAATTCTAAATGGAACTGCATGTGTGATCTTTGTCACCTCATTTTCATGAATGGAAAGGAATATTCTGACACAAAAATTACATACTTAATTCTCGCTCACCCTCTCTGCTGACCTCCATCCCACACTGCCTTGGGTTTATTTCCTCATCCATCAGTGGGTCAAAGTAATTTCTGCTGTATTCATTTCCTGTGGAAAGTACATGAAGTAAGGGTCAGTGATTATTAGAAGCACATGAACCAAAATGTTAATTTTGAAATCGACACCAGCACAGAAGGGCCATTTTAGCTACTTTATAAGCTTAATTTTTTTACAAGTATTCCAAGCCTCCCTTTTTTGTAATTATCATCCAACAAAAGGTCAAAAAAGGTAATTCAAGAAACAAGTTCATGTTATCTTTCTGTTGCTAAAAATTAATGAGAAAATTATCAAATGTAGGGTTTAGAAAAATAATAATAATGAAACTTAAGTCAAATTGTGTTAAGGATATACTCCAGAAATGCACATTGTTGGGTTGTGAAAATATTTAGAGTTCATTAATGACTCCATGTTCTTATTTATATTTCACTAAGTATATCACACGTTTGTGTGCAGAATTCTGTGGCCAATTTGTTTTTGTTGTGGGTGTTAAGGGCCGTCGAGTCGGTTCCAACCCATAGAGTCTCTCTATGGGTTTCTGAGGAGTACATTAACCTATAGCACCACACCAGGACTCTTGGTTCCCACTTAGTGGTGTCTTAATGCGGTGCTGTGGATTAATGCATGGCACTGCAAAGTCAGTTTGAGCTGAAAGGTCAGTGGTTTGTGCTCACCAGCAGCTCCTTGGAAACCCTATACAGGGTCAATATGGGTCAGAACCGACTCAATGGCACTTAAAACAACAATTATGAAAAAAACTGTAACAATTATTCCTATGATGGAAATTGAGTGCAAAGAAAGGACACGAGAGAGCCTTCTTGTTGAGTTTATCTGTTTTGTCAACTTAGGTAATATGCAAAGAAGATGCAAATGCTATATCTAGAAATTTTATTCAGCACATATCAACAAATCCCAGTAACACAAATGCAAAATTTCACTTCACTTCTCACTTAACTCTATCCTTATCTCGATGAGTAAGCTGTAACATCAGATATGGCTTTGCAACAGAGTGAAAGGTCTGTAATCAATCTTTCAAATCTAGTTTCATACTTTCTGCAGACCGACATGTATCTGTCTGTTACCAGTAATTTACATCCAGCAAAATAGAACCAATCCTGAAGATAATTCAAATTGCCTCCAACACTTTCAAAGAAAGAATATTTTGGACTGAAAATAATGATAATTTTGAAAGTACTACTCCCAGAAAAGGGTTAATATATACCAGGTAGACTGTGATACTCCATAATATATTTGTTTTAGGATCAAAAATAATCCAAACAGCAGCTCCTTTTCCACGACTCAATGAAATTTTGATATGAACCTAACTTTAATTTCTATTTCTGGACTGGCACATTTTTGCTGTCAGTCTCTGTTCTATCAATGTAGTAAGTACAAGAACTGAAAATCTGCTTTACCTTGAGGTCTCAATAAAGAAAAAACTAAATGAGTTTCATTTTTGTTACTTTATCTGTCAACTACTAGGCTGGTATGAATCTTGGCAGTATGTAATCCAAGTCTTACGTGCTGCAATAACACAACCATTCTACCTCATTCACTATAATTGTTTTGTTTGCTCACCCCGCCCCCCAATCACTATGATACTCCAAAGACATTCTTTCATATGCTGGCAAAATAATTCACCTATAATAAAGCAAAAATGGTGGTGGCTCTGTAGGATAAGCACTGTGCTGTGAACCAGAAGGTCGGAAGTTTGAGCCCACCAGTCACTCCACAGGTGAAAGTTGAGGCTTTATGCTCCCATGAAGAGTCACAGCCTTGGAAACCCTATGCAGGGAGAGTATGAGGTGGAACGATCCTGGCAGCACTTAACACCAACAACGTTCCCTTACTGAAGTGCCATAGCAGTATCAGGAGTCCTGGTGGGGTGGTATAGGATCGGCACTGGACTGTTAACCAAAAGGCCAGCGGTTCAAACCTCCCAGCTACTCCTCAGAACCCTATACAGGGTTGCTATGAGTCAGAACCGACTCAGTGACACTGAAGCCACAACAAGTAGCGTCAGTTAGCTCCTTGTCAGATAGCCAAGAAATGATCCAAAACCTCACATTTTTCACCTAGTGAAATGACTTATTAGTCAATTATACCAAAACAATTAAGACCTGCAAAAATGAAGCACAATTATGATTTTCTTAGTCAGATGCCTTGAAGATATAATTTGACTTTTTGGTATTCAAACCATTTTCATCTCTATTACCAGTTAAGAAGCAGGGATATTGAACAAGACGCTCAGTATGAAGACTTGTACATGGGAAATCTGCCAAGACTGATAACGTCCCCTCAGGGCTTCATGTTTCCATCACACAGCTCAACGATACCGAATCTGTTGTCATTGAGTTGACTCCAGCTCATGGTGATCCCTGTAGAGTAACATTGCTCCGTAGGGTTTTCAATGGTTGATTTTTTGGGAGCAGATCTCTAGACCTTTCACCTAAGGGACCTTCGGGTGGAGTCGAACTTCCAACCTTTGGGTTAGCAACTGAGTGAGTTAACGATTCGCACTGCTTCAACTCACAGATAAAATAAAAGCTAATCGACTGCCGTCCAGTCGACTCATGGTAGAACAGAGTAGAACTGTGCCATAGGGTTTTTGAGGCGATAAATCTATACAGGAGCAGAGTCCCTAGTGGGCTCAAATCACTAACCTTTCAGTTAGCCACACAACGCTTAACTCATTGTACAACCAGGGCTCCTTGCTGTTGTTGTTACTGTTGTTGTTGTTGTTGTTAAGTGCCCGTCGAGTCAGTTCTGACCCATAGCAACTTTCTACAGAGTTTCTGAGGCTGTAAATCTTTACGGGAGCAGAAAGCCTCATATTTCCAGCTGGTAGTTTCGAACTGCTGACCTTAAGATTCACAGCCCGATTCATAACCACTAT